AGCAAAATTTGCCATTCATTGCCAGTGGAAATGGAAGACAGAACACCCACTTTGCAATAGTGGCAGTTTCTTACACAAGTAAATATGCTCTCACCACACATCCATCAATCATGTTCCTTACTATTTGCTCAATTTGAGGTGAAAACGTGTGTCCACACAAACCTGTACGTGGATGCTTGCTATCACGTCAGTCATGACTGCCAAAACTAGGAACTCAATAAGGTGTCCTCCAGGAGTGCATTGGGTAAGCAAAGGGCATTTCAGTCAAGTTCATGTTATTTGTTACCAACAATGTTGCTCTATCGAGCCGTGAAAACATGTGGAAGAAGCACAAATGTATATTTCTAAGGAAAAAATCCAATTGATACCAGACCCGCCTTTGTCTCTTTCTAGCTGTAAATCTGCCAACTTCCAAGGTTTCAGTGGAGAAGCCCAGGTGAGCTAGCCAAGGGCAGGCACGTGTCCCTGGCCCTCCTTCCAACTCTAGTTCTCAGGATCAGGTCTTCAGTGAGATCCGGGTTCATGTCATGGTAAAAGGTCATTTGCTTCCTGACTCTGGCCCCAAAGTCATCCAGGAGAGTTGTTAGTGCCCACCATCTCACGCAGATGTCTAGTTTTAGTCTGAGGTTAGATGTCGGTCTTTAGTGAAACTTCAAGTTTAAAGGAATAGACCTCGTCATTATCACCTTGACATTCTTTGAGAAACATCAAAATCTGCTCCTGAAAGTTAATTACACAATTATTTATTGAACAATGCTGATATCACATCATAGAAGGTATGAAGTGTACGGTTGTTTTGTCCATGAATAGTGTTTCAAGGGTCACCAATCATGGCACCAGAGATACTAGAAGACAGTTGCCAATGCACATCCACAAGGCCCTGTAAATGGAATCATGGGAAATGCAAGGGACAAGAAAGGGAGACAAAATGCAGAGTCAGGAATATATAAGATGTGTCAATTCAGAGTGATGGAGTCAGATGTTGGTGGGTGGGAGTCCATAGGGAGCAAAGTGCTTAAGCAGAAAACTGGGATTGTATAGAAACCAAGCTGTTGCCCACGTGGTTCAGCTAAGGGAATCAAGACCATAAGGCTGAATCAGAGATGACACGTGAGGTCACTGAGAATAGAGTAAGAGGTAAATAGAGATTTGTGAGTAGGGGATCCACAGGGGGTCAGGTCACCTGTCCCAGCCCCTGGGACCTGTCTGTAAAGTGGGTGCTGGGCTTTTGATCCCCAGTTGTGTGAGATCCAGCAAGGCTTGGGTCACCTTCCTTGGGTCGTTGGAACATGTCCTACTCAATGAAAAAGGCATAGCAGTGGACACAGGCCCTGTTGTAAAAGGAGAATATGGCAGCTCATTTGGTGCTATAGCAGAAGAACAGAACTAAGTGGACAACTACTCCAACTTTGAAAGCAAAATATCCAAACAACTTCGACAGACCCTCGGAATATGTACCCATTGAGATTCTGAGTTGAGATGAGGTGGCACTTCCTCATCCCTGAGTATTGGGAAATGTGGGAAGTCAAGTGTAGTTTCCTCCTTTTGCCTCTTCCCTATCCTCAGAATCAACAAGAAGAAACAGCAAATTTGGAAGCAATGAGTACACTCAATTTTCCCTAAACCCCATCCCCCCAGACATTCACCTCACAATCAGGCCCCATGATCTGGGCCAACCCCACCGGTTCTTCCTCCCTGGGGATTTGTAATAAAATGTAAGCGTTACATACGTAGCTGTTTTACTGCATTACTTAGAGAATAAACAAGTAAAAATGTTCCATGTAGACACAATTATTCTTTCAAAGAATTTTTTGACCAGTTAAAGGAAGCTTCTGTTATAAGAAATCACTTGGTGATTTGAACATCAGGCATCAGACTGCCAGCCAAGAGGTCTTCCCAAGCATGAACCATCCCAAGTTTTCTGTTCTGTGTAAGACACACTGTACCTCAATTAAAGCTTTGCAAAACATCAAACAGACCAGATTTACCCCCAGATGTATGAATTGGATTTCTAGCAACCCCAATAAGTAGAACTAGTTTTACAAAAGTAAGTGAGACAGGGCCCGGCGCGGTGGCACAGTGGTTAAGGTCCTTGCCTTGCACTCCCGGGATCCCATATGGGCGCTGGTTCTATCCCGGCTGCCCCGCTTCCCTTCCAGCTCCCTGCCTGTGGCCCGGGAAAGCAGTCGAGGACAGCCCAAGGCTTTGGGACCCTGCACCCACGTGGGAGCCCCAGAAGAGGCTCCTGGCTTTGGATCAGCATAGCATCGGCCGTTGTGCTCACTTGGGGAATGAATCATCAGATGGAAGATCTTCCTCTCTGTCTCTCCTCTCTGTATATCCACCTTTCAAATAAAAAAAAAATAATAAAAATAAATCTTAAAAAAAAATAAATGAGACAAAAAAAGAAATATGAGATATGCTATTCCTAAATACACATGCACTTAAGACATATACTTGTGGTTAAGATAAATTAAACCCTTGAAGATCATCTAAGCATGCAAATATCTCTTTTTCCATTGTTTTTTGCAAATGCATGAGTCCCTGAGGAAAGGTGGCTTTTGCACAATGCTACTATTTCATTTTCTTCATGGCAATGCCAAAAATCCAGGACTTGAGGCCTATGCAAATGCACTATGACGACATATTTTATTTTCCTCTAAATTATACCCTCATCTATGGTAGTATTTGTAATGTACACTTCCTGCAATGCTTTCTGCAAACAGGTGGCCAGGAAGGAGGACAGCAGACTTACTGATCTTCATCTGTAGACCAAAGACAAAGTCACACTTTGGGAATGGAAAATGTTGGACCAACAATAGAAACATGTTGCATTTTGGTGACTTCTTTTTATTTCCAGAATTACTGGTTTGCAATGACTCTTGTGTGGGTCAAGTGACTGCCAACTGATGCCCCCAAGGAAAGACTGTGACTAGATTTCCTGAACAAATGTGGCCATTGGAGATACCATAGCTCCTTGAATGCAGGCATTTGCAGCAGATGTAGAATTTTTTTTTTCCAAATGAACTAGGAGCATCAGAATTTTCACTGGACCCAGCAGATATTGATCCACTTCCATGAGGGTTGGAGCACCAGGAAGAGCCCCATTTGTTGCAGACAAGGACATTGGCTGGGTATGTTTTTGGAATTAGCATCAAAGGGATGGAAAACTGCTTGAACATACTCACATACATACGTGTGTTTCTGTCTGACAGCTGAGTAAATAATTGTGTTCTTGGCACCCTAGGCTTCCACTGCGTGATGGAACAAAAAAGTTACAATTAATCCAGACAGCAAATAACATATTCATGCATAATTAAGATCTGACTTACTTCTCTGGCTCTCTCATTTTATGTCAATTTTTAAAATACCTGAGTCAGCACTTTTTTCCCCCCTGTTCTTATTATCTTCTCAGGGTTCCAAACTAAGCCAGGCTGAGTTTGCTATCATCCATTGCTTTCTCTGTCCTTCTGAACCACAATTGCCTTCCTTGACAGTATGATTCCAAATCAAGAAATAATCAATATGGCTGAAATAAAGTATCTATAGTTGTATTTGGTTGCAGAATGAATGGATTTGCAAAATGGGAAAAGACAGGTTCAGCTAGAGACTGAACACATGCTTGCATTTTCTATGGCAATAAGAAAGCGAGTACTTCCAGTCCAGTGTATTTGGAAGTGGTGCCTTTGACTGAGACCTGCCTCACACCATTCAATGTGCTTGTAAATATTGTGATTTCATTGTAATATCCAGGTCAGGGGACAAAGAGGCCACTCTGATGTTTCAAGTTACTGTTGGGTTTTGCAGTAGATTTATCTGATGGGTTCAGCTTCTGAGATGAAACCTGGGTGGCAATTCTTCCTGCCAGTGAAATCTCTAAGATTCAGAAAATCTTGAAAACAGTTCTTTTTGGTGAAAATGTGATATATGATTTTGATTTTTGTGTTGTCATCAATATTTTCTCTCTGCACACCACTTAGTTTTTGCCTTCCAGATCTGTCCCTGGATATTGCCACCTATCCATTTACAGACCTGCCGTTTACTGTCAGGTTGTTTCATTCCTTTTTTTACTGCCAAGGGAGGTTCACAAGTCAAGGATCTGGGTGACCTTGTGCCTGCATAACAGAAGCATGGGGCCTAGTGCTTTGGCAAGGCTCTCTGTTCATGAGAGCAACAAGGAATAGAGATCGGATTGAATGGACTTGTCCAGGAGAGTGCATGACCAGACATTGCCTCCAGAATCTAAGGTGCACAATCTATGGGAGTCCAAATTTCATCACTGCCCACTAATCAATGCCATATACTTTAAACAATCAGTTACTCTTCTCACTTCACACTGCCTCTACAATCAGTGTAAGGAAATCCCTGAAAAGATAATAAACATGAAAGAAACATTAATGTAGAAATTTATGAGAGTGAATTTAAAGTTAATTCTAAAACAAAACCAAACCCTAAGCTTTATTGAGGTTTGTTGTTAACAACGTTTCCCCAAACTAAAAGCAGTTTACTGGAATTGTTCGCAGGCTTGACAGGTCTGCCTATCAATGTAGATCGTGGTATTTCATTAGACCTACTTAAAAAACAACACAGTGCACAGAAAGTAAACGTGTATGCTCTTAACAACCTTGAAGATGGAGAACAAGAGGAACAAGAACAGGAGGTGGTAGAGGAGGTGGCCAAAGTACTAATAAACTTCAAGGATGACAACACAGCTCACAGTGCAGAGTTTGCACCATATTTTGCAAGCAATTTCCATGTAACATTTTTGAAGTCTCTATGGTTGTGTGCCATACCGACGTCAGTCCAAAAATCTGTCTCCTTTTTTTCTGTGATGGATCACAGGTAGTCTTGGTTGCTGTCCACTGTTGATTCTTGATGCAATGCTGCCAGCTGGATCCTGTGACACATTTCCTCATTCATGGGATGGATTAGGGTATCTATCTGGGGAATAAATACAGCCACTGTGAATCCTCACTCTCACAGTGAATTCCTCCATCTCGCTCACTTACCAGTGCACAGCCAAACACAGCTGCTCAACATGAAGCTGGTCGTGGTCCTCATGCTGGCTGCCCTCCCTCTTTACTGCTATGCAGGTGAGTTCTGTGCATGGAAGCTTGCCTTGGGAATAGTCATTGGTACCAGGCCTACTGAAGATGACTTCCACATCTCTAATCCCCAGGAGGCTTTGCTAGATGCTTAGCATTTATTCCAGACTCTCAGAGATGCTTCTCTCTTTGCATTGCTTTGCATTCTAGGTTCACGTGGTGTTTGATTTTAAAGCAGGGTGTTCTACTATGTTCACAACTTCTGTGATAACCAGGGTGGATTTCAAGGGGAGACAATTGGGATTCTATATTTCAGTAGGTAGAGGAGAGAGAAGAATGAAGATCTTCTTTTTTCCATCTCAGTTGGTTTCTTGTAGGGTGCAATGATGAGTCTCCCTACTGTGGAGCAAATCAGAAACCTTGGAGAGAAGGCAGAGGCCAGCGTGGGAGATGGGATCAGACCTTTGCATTCCTTTAGAGGCATTTTATACCTTGAATATCCTTGTCTTCCTGTTGTATCTATAATTTCTGCTTTAGGGAGTAGGATTCATTGTAATAGCTTATGGTAAAGTAGAAAAGCAGATTATTCATGCAGTTGTGGCTTTGATTTGTTCTAAGGGGAGTCAGAAGTGCAGGCTCTGAGTAACAGGTTTTGCTTGTTCAATGTGAGCTGTGTCCATGAGTGACATATTGGACTGATGTGCTGCAGTTTGTGGAAACAAAAGATCCATAGTTATTTTGGGTGTGTGTCTCTGAGTTGAGTGTCAGCAGTCAGTGTCAGTCTCCGTGGTGAACATGAGAGACAGGGCCTTGGTGGCCAGGAAGTCCAGGTGGCTGTCCTTCTCCTTCTGGCAAGTCTGAGTGATTTAAGGGCTGGTGGAACCAGTGATGCTGTTCTCGTGATATAGGGTAAGGATGGACCATTCTTCAGTCCCTGTTAGAACAGTGTACCTGTTGTGGTGAGTTTGATTACCCACATTTCTCCTTCTAAAGACTAGGAAACAAGAAGTGAAACCTATCCCAACCCTACCCATGGCTCTACCCAAAAGTAGATTCCAGTGCCACTACTAAAGTTAGAATGGATTGTTACAGAAGTCCTCATATTTCTGCTGATTTTTAATGAACTGCTGCGTGTGTTGACTCCTTGTAACTAAGTTGCGTTCCTCAAGCTCACATTGAATGCATGAGCAAAAGTGGAATGCAGGAACCCCAAAACTCCCATAGTTATAGGATGAATCGTATATGTCACAGATTGCCCTGACCTGACTCTGATGATGATAGTAGAACAGAGCTGTGCTGCTCGATGTTGTGCTGATAAGTGTGGTGTTCTGAGAGAGTAGTGGAAGGGCAGGAAGCCATGTATATTTTTGCCTTCTCTTATGATTATTTTTGTAATCACATTGCTTTATGTGACACAGTTTCATAGGCTCTTGGATTCCCAGAAGCCCTCCTAGTCCCATCCCCTTCCTCATGGTGGATTCCTCCACCTTGTTGCAGTATTACAGTTCAAATTCAGTCAAGATTCTTTCATTGCAAGCATATACCAAGCACAGAGTCCATCATCTTATAGTTCCAATAAATTCAATGGTTTCTTGAGAAGACCATTTCTGGTCTGAAGACAGAGATGGAAAAATATCATCCTGATCAATTGAAAGCCAGAACATAACATCAAGAAGATTTTACAGCATTATGGAATTATTTGACAGTGTAATGAGTAACCAATAGTTTTAAAAAATGCAAGTTCTTAACTTCATTCTTTGACTACTTCATTGACATTTCAATTTTTACTTTATGAAGAATGGGCTTCTATACACCATATAAGGGCTATAAAGTACTATTCAGCTGTCTCTTGTGTATTTTCATTTTAGTATTTAGCAGTTTATAGCGTTGAAGCATAATTCTGCTGACCTTGGCAGATTTTAGGATAGTCTAAACTGGCTTAAAACTCTAACAAGGCATATGTCAACAGTGGAGGTGCAGAACAGTTTTAGGAGAGGTGTGCAGAGCAAGCTTCAATACCATAGTGAGGAGTAACTAATGTTTGTGTCCTACCAAGTGTGATCCAGCTTGACTTTTTTTAGACCCAAATCAATTCCCCAGACTAAAGAAAAAGTCAATGGCTGATCATGGAATTTCTCTCAGCTAAAACTGTGAGCAACATGGTGCTCATCATTTGTTCCTACATTGATATGGTATTGGGCCATCTTACAGCTGGCACTGGATGTGCCATGTTGATGGCTTCCATGGTTTCTTCTCTGTTCTTGACCATCATAACTTGGTGTTTCTCTTTTAACTTCCTTACTGAACTTTTCCATTCATCAAGTGCAACACTGGAAATGAGTCCTCTATCCCACAGCAGCTCAAGGTAGTGTGGCTATCCCTCTTGGATTTCTTCAACGACATCTCCTTTCTTGAGATTCCTAATTGAATGAGTTTGCATGGGATTTTGTTCTGTGTGGAGCTGTGATGGAGAAGAAACAGACAAGCTTGGTGTAGAAGGTGCCCAGGGTCCAAGTTTATTCTCCTAAAGCTGAGAACTCTAGAACAGAGCCTTTAAGTTTTCCAGATCCTTGTCTCTGGGTTGGATGTGAGAAAATGATGAACATTGCAGCCATTCCCACCAAATGAATTCTTGTCTCTGAGAACAAGCCTGTTTTCTCCTGATGCCTTGCAGGTTCTGGCTGCCAATTGCTGGAAGATTTGGTGGGAAAGACACTTGATTCCTCTGTGTCTACAGATGACTACAGAGAAGTTCTGAAAGATTACATCAATACACCACTGGACGAACTAGCCGTAAATGAACTCAAAGAGTGTTTTCTCAGCCAGTCCAATGAGACACTGGCCAATGTTGGGGTGATGATGGTAAGCTGGTTTCTTCTTGTTGGCTTTCAAGTCAATTTCTTGGCAAGAATATTCGAAAAGCTTCTTCCTGATAAAGGCAGTCACTCTAAGCTTCATGTAATTAAACGATGTAGTGAGTCTGCTGTCTCTGTCCTCAAGTGATCTTCAAGATCCCAAGGAAGATTTGTCCTTATGGGAATTCTAGGTGAATAACACAGGCAAAAGGTAGAAATGCTCAGAAAATGGTATCTGCTCCTGGGTTCTACAAAACACACAGGCTGATGCACACACCAGGTGATGAGCATTCAGCTGCCTGGAAATGTGCAGGAACACACACACACACACACACACACACACACACACACATGCATTTGAGCATTACCATGGTAATATTACTGGCAGTCTTGTTTGGGAGGTAATGTATAAGTAGCATTATCTCTTTGATATCAATGAACAATCCCTGATGTTAGAACTTTTCAGGAGATAATCTGAGTCTGCTTACAACACTTGGATGCATGTTTTCAATAGTTGAAAAATGTAGAAAAAGTAAGTAGAAAAACCTTGATTGTGAATATTTCACTTTGAAAAGCATTGAGACTCTTTATTATTATTATTATTTTGTGGGCGGTGACTCTTTTTGAAAAAAAACATGAAGGTTTTGTTATTAGTATCTTCTAGGTTCTGGTTTTGTAGATTGAAGTGTTCCCCTTCCACCTTCCTTTCTCCCTCCTCATGTCCCACCTTCCTCCTTACTTTCTCCTTTTTCACAAAAGTATACCATGTAATAATGGTTACAAGTTTAACATTCTGATATCTGAGTTTTCATGTCATTGTAGGTGTAAGCAAATGTATAAAATGTAGTATGTCATTGTCAAGGTATAGGAAACTGATACAGTGGGAGTCCTCATTTGTTCAGGGGTAGCAATATGTATGACAATGTCTAAGCACCATCTCTGTTTTATTTTCTAGGAATCCATTTACAATAGTGCCTGGTGTAAGCTCTTTTAATTTCCTGCAAGATGGCTGACCCAGAGAACAACACACTGTGTTTGGAAAATGCTGATGCTATGACTTACGCTTGTGTTTTCTTTTCCCATCGTGTCCATTCACCTAAAAACTGCAAGACAATTGTTGAAACCTCAAGTGCATTTTGATTTCAATAAACTACAGAAAGCTTAGGCTGTTGTTGTTTTTTTTCATTATGGTGTAAAATTGGAGGCTACTGGGGGATCACAAATCTCTCACGGTTGTGGAGACATGCCCTTGAGCCCATGAGTAGTCACTGAAGGACACAGAAGTACAGGAGTGGAGGCTATGCCAAGCAGCCTCTCCCTCACAGTGGGGCTCTAAGGGCTGGGTGCTCTCTAGAACTTTGCTTCTCTTCCGTGCATGCCATCATCATCTCATATGTGACCATCTGAAGCCTTCAGCCTTACTGGTTCTAAAGTTGGATGTGTGCAGAACCACGTGGCCACCACAGTCTCTAAGCCCATTCAGTCTCTCCATAACGACCCATAGTTTGTGAATAGACAGAATTGTGGAAGGGTTCCCTGGAACTCATCTTGCTCTTTCTCTTTGTGAGCTCAGTTACGGAAACACTGAGTCAGAAGGCAAGGCAAGGGCAGTGTGAGAGATTAGAGTAAGGTGTGTGCAGAAGAAACACATGCTTCTGGCTGCAGTGCCAGCACAGGCAAATGGGCTTAGGCAAACACTGAATCACACAGCAGGAGAAGTTGTGTCTGAATAGCACCAGTGCTCAAAGATGAAGGGAAGAATGTGGGAATGTTTGGTGTAATGGAGGTTTTAAAAATGTAATAACCCTGAAGATCAAGAATCCTGATTCAGTGAAACTGGTGTTTCTAAGAGTCCTAAAAGAGAGGGACATGAGCAGTCTGATTGAGCCCCAGAGGAAAAGATCCATGAGAAACACTGTGGAAAATGCTGCAGTCCCGCCAGGACTGAGAAAAATGTGCCTCACCAAAAGGCTTGGTGAATTGCAGAGATGACAGATGAAGAAATTGAAGACATATCACACAAGGAGTTCAGAAAAATAGCTATGAAACTCTTCAGAGACAATGAAGAATAATGGGAGGAACTTAAGGAATTCAAAAATCACATGATCACAGAAACAAAATTAGTCAAACATGAGATATTTGACTTGAAGCACAGAGTTGAGAGCTTATCCAACAGAATTATTGTAGCAGAAGATAGGATATCCGAGTTGGAAGATTCCCATAATGAAAGGAGGCAGATCATTAACCAACTGGAGACACAACTGCACAAGGCATCCAAGGCAATCCAAGAAATGAATGACACCATGAAGAAATCAAACATCAGAATTATGGGGCTCCCAGAAGGAGTAGAAAGAGAAACAGGCATACAACCGGTGCACAACGAAATTTTACAGGAGAACTTCCAAAACGCCTGGAACATGAGCCTAGTCCAAATCCAGGAAGGCCAGAGAACGCCCCACAATATTGACCCAAAAACAGCTTCTCCCAGACACATGGTGATCAAGCTCCCCTCCAACAAACACAAAGAAAGAATCCTGAGGCTAGCACGAAGCAAAGACAAGCTTACATTTAGAGGCAGGTCCAACAGAATCATCACTGACTTCTCAGAACAGATGCTCCAGGCAAGAAGGGAATGGAATAAAATCTTTCAAGTACTGAAACAGAACAACAGTCAACCAAGAATATTGTACCCAGCAAAGATCTCATTTGTATTTGAGAATGAAATTAAATACTTCCATAGCAAAGAGAAATTAGAAGAATATGCCAGCAGAAAACCAACTCTACAAAATCTCCTCAGAAATGTGCTACTCCCAGAGACAAAGCAAAAACCACAAGCAAGGATGGAAGGGGGAAGACCACCACATTAAAGCTCATGCTAGGAAAAACACTCATATACTAACAACCTCAAAGACACACACACATATCAGGACAAAATTGTAATCTCTCAACATTAACCCTTAACACAAATGGCCTTAATTCATCATTCAAAAAACGCAGATTAACAGACTGAATTAACAAACAGGACCCAAATATCAGTTGCCTACAAGAGATGCATCTAACCAGAAAAGACGCTAAGAAACTGAAAGTGAAGGGATGGAAAAAGATATTTCACACCAATGGATGAGAAAATAAGGCTGGTGTAGCAATCCTAATTTCAGACAATATAGACTTCAACGTGACAAGCATCAAAAAGGACAGGGAAGGGCAATATATATTGTGGAAAGGCAAGATCCATCAGGAAAAAATTATCATTCTTAACATTTATGCTCCAAGTCTAGATGCACACAGCTATGTGAAACAATTACTTATAGACTTAAAGGGAGATATAGATGAACATACAATAATCCCGGGAGATCTGAATACTCCATTAACACCAATAGATAGATCAATGAGATAAAAGCTCAAGAGAGAGGCTACAGAGCTCACACAAACAATAGAACAACTGGACTGGTAGATATCTATAGAATATTCATCCAAAGGCTGCAGAATATACATTTTTTTTTCAGTAATGCATGGCAGCTTCTCCTGGATAGATCACGTGATAGAACACAAAGCATGTCTAACTTCAAAAAATTTGGAGTCATACCATGTTACGGGGTCTCCTGTCCCATGGAAGAAATTACCCAACACTTGAGAGAGTCTCCGAGGTGCTTTAGTCAGACCTTCTGTTAAAACCGTTATGTCTGTTAATTCCGTTACACTCAAGCCCCAACCTGCCAAGCCCCCAGCTGATATGTCAGTCCTGTCCAATCAGCTTAAAGATCACCAAGGCATACTAATCAGGGCAAAGGGCCAATCACAGGGCAGGAAATTGTCAGTGTCTCTAACAGCTCCCCCTTCTTCTTTATTAAGCAAGGGACCGTGTCTGTCTTAGGTTGGTGAAGCTGTATTGAATACTTACCTGTCTCTGGCTATCAGTCCAGCATGCCTAGCCAGACTTCTGGGGGTTCTCTGTTGTGAAGGGCAAGCACAGCTTGCACTAGCAGCCACTGTTACTGCTGCTGGTGCTGTGCTTGAAGATGAAGCATCCACAGACCCCAAAGAATGATAATTAATAAGATAAGGCCCAGGCCTACTATACCGACCTATTGGTGTGCAAAGGAAAGATCCTTTAGTATCCAATTTGTCCATTGCTCTACTGTGGCAATCTCTACTTTGGTGCTATTTATGGCTATAATTTGGCATCTTAGTTACTAAGTCAAATTATCAAATCGTATGGACCAGCTTCCATTAGAGGATAGCATAGCAGATAACTCTCTGGACAAATTCAATGCTCGGGAACCATTGGTGACAATAGAGGGAGTGACATACATTCCAGTAGACTAAGCACAAAGCAGGTCCCCATATGATGGAGCAGTTGTTCCACTGCCTCCTGCAAAAGATCCACTCTCTGATTAACAAGTAAAATGCCTCTTTTAAACTGTATGATGAATAAGAACCTGAAGATCACTTTATCACTTTCTTTCACCTGAACGGGCATGGGAATAAGTTGTGGAAAGTTGTGTGCAAAATACCCAGACATTCCAAGACTGAGCAGAAACAGATTGAACAGGGTTACCATATGTATAGTTATACCCCACAAAGGCAGAATTTGAACAGGTAGGAAATAAATTGGTCACAGCAAGACCAGGTGCTACTCTTCTGGGAGTCACAGTACTTTCACAGCCAGTCCATTCTGGGGGCCATTTCCAAGGCCCTAGACAGCGAATGAACATCAGGCTGGTCAGCATCCACCATGTCCACAGGTTCATCTTGCTCTGGCTTTCTTATCACTCGCATCAAATGTTGTGGCACCCACACTGGTCCATCAGAATCCTGCGGAAAAACACAAACCGCTCCTCGCATCCGTCGTAAGACAGGATGTGGGCCCATCCATTGTTTTGTTAAAACATCCTTCCACATCACCCAATCTTTGTAGGGGCCTGCACCAATAGCATGGCATTTGGCAGCAGAATGGCCATCCAAATCCAAAATTAAAAAAATTAAAAATATAAGTAACTAAAGCCAATTGATGTTTAGGACTATTGGAATATAGGGTGGCTCCTACTTCCCCTTTTTGTTTTATTAATAATGCTTTGAGAGTTGCATGGGCACGCTCTACCACAGCCTGGCCCATGGGATTATATGAGATACAAGTGGAGTGTTTAATCGCAAATTCAGAACAAAACTTATCAAATGCTTTGGCTGTACAGGTAGGTTCATTATTAATCTTATAACATTGGGGGATGCCTCAGGCTGCAAAAGCCTGAAGGCAATGAGATACAAAATGTTAAACCTTTTCCCCTGTATGGCCTGAGGCATAAAGAACCCCAGAGCAGGTATCAATAGAGACATGAACAAAAGAAAGGCGACCAAAACTGGGAACATGGGTAACATCCATCTGCCATATATGATTAGGCATAAGACCACCGGCATTAACCCCAAAGCAAGGCTGGGATAAAAAGGGGACACAATTTTGTCATTGTCTAATAATAGAAAAATATGGTCGGATCCAATTAATATGCCCCAATACCTGCTGGAAATCATTAAGGTCTTTAAACCATCCATTCTGATTTTTGTTTTTTTTTTGCATCTCCATAAAACTTTCTCACCTTTCTGTATAAGTTCTCTGAATTTATCAGTGCCATCTGCCAGGCAAGACTTAATTGATGTCCAGAACCTGACCATTCCTGGAAGAAGGGTCTCCTGCCGTTCTGCCCTAGCTAAGTCACTGCCTAAGTGCTTCCATTGTGGCAGGATCAAAAGGCTGTCCTCCAGAAACCATGGGGCAATCCTCTGCAGAGTTTGCAAAAACGACAGTATTGTCAGCAGTTTCTGCAATAAAGGCTGCATGTGCACTGAAGAAGTTAAATTGCCCATATTTCTAACACCTCTGATCATTGCTAACCTGCAAATGTGACTGATCATTAAATCGCGAAATTGACTGATTGTTAACCGCGAACTTGAATGGGCGCTAGACCGCGAACCTGAATGGGCGGTAAGCCGCAAACCAGAATGGGCAGTAAATCGCGAACCTGAATGGTCGCTAGAACACGAACTTGATGTGAATGTCCACGCC